GAGAGAGGGTCGCGGGGGGGGGGGGGGGGGGCGGGCAGGGGGTGGTGATCAACCTTTTAACAGAAAGGCTAACACCAGTTAATTGACCATAAGAAGTTAACAGCTTCAATCTGAGGTATTCATGAGCCAAATGCCTCACTGTTTCTGTAGCACCTCTGAGCTCTTTTGTTTTGTTACGTGTTTATTCCCTTCCTAATGACACATACTGCAGTATCAGTACTTTTGGCATTTGCTGAATAAGAAAACTGGACAATTACCATGTCTAATGTAGTGTATGCAGAATTCCAAGCATGATGATTCTAAAATTAATAATACATTTTAAATAGTAAAACCACAAATAATTTGTGCACTTTAAATGCTGACTTTCTGCTTTGTTTAGTTTTTCTAACTACTGTAGCCTTATCAATACTCTCCTTGGAATTTCAGTTTTCTCATTTCAGACAGGATATTTGAAAGGTCTGTTAGCAGAATTCTGAAAAGTTGTGGATCTTTTTACTGAAGGTTCATATATATAGTCTAGCACTTTATCATGTCTATAGGTATTAGTAACACCACACTATGTAATGACTGTGTTTTAAGTTCTGAAATATTCAGAAATATTCTGAAATACTCAGAATCTGCCTGTCATTATGGAACCTGTTTTTCTAGGTGTTTCTGGGCATGTATTCCCAACAAAAATGCCTGAAAATGTAGATATCTGATAAAAGAGTTCAGAAAATAGATGTTTTATGCAACCTTTATCCTAGCTAACTTATTATCTTGGAAGTTGTGTAAATTCAAACACCGAGTTTCAAGTCAGTGAAATGAATTACATGTCTGCACAAAGTGATTCATCTTGTCTAAAACACCAGATTTAGGGTGAGATGAATTACCCACTGGAGGCGCCTCATTCATTCTCTTCATACATATAGGGCTTAAGGTTACTCATTTTAAAGTAGTCAACTTTGAGTTGACCGAAGTTGATATTAATTGTCCCTTTTGTAATTGGAATGTGGAATGCTGTGAATGTGCTAACAAGCTTTTGAGTTTTTCGTCAAATCTGCACTGACACTGAACACTGAGATTTAGCTTACAGATAGATGTTTCTCCTGGTCTTTTGGTGTTGCCTCCAAAAGAGTATCACAGGAAATTGTTCAAGTTTGTCCATTACTCAGCTGTGAGAATAACAAACCTACTTAGAATAGCTTAAATGCATTTTGGACAATGAAAATATCTGATGCATTTAATTATTCAGCACTCACTGAGACTGTCACCCCAGGTAAAATTTGGAAATTTCTATTTGATTGGTAACCAATATCTAGTTATGGTTTTACTTGGGTTTGTTCTGAGGTTGGCATGGGCAGAATGAGCGTGTGGCAGTAATGGTGTTACACACACAGCTGTGTGAGCTGTGGCCATGAGGTCATTGGGGAGCATGTTTAGTCTTACAAGAAGGAGCCTTCTGGGGAAAGGCATCTCCCACAAGGTGGGAAATACCTGCGCCTGGCTTCTGTTTGCTTTTTAACTGGCATTTCAGGAAAACAGGCAGGCAGAAGCCACAGAGACCTGGCACTTAACTTCCTTGACAAATGGGTGAGCAATATTTGTCCCTAATTAACTCCAAAATGGTAAGTTTTACTTTTCTGTCTCTATTTTTAAATTTATTTTTTATTAAGGGAATAATTTTTTGAGTTTTTTCTTTGCCTTCTTGTTTTACAGCTTTTTTGGTTCACTTCTTATGTATTCTCAGAAGCTGTGAAGATTGAAGATATGGAGGATGATATTCTATCAAGAATAGAAATTTAGAATCATGGAATTAAAGTCTGAGTAATATGCCAGTTTTCATGGAAGTTCATCAAGGAATGTCTCCCATGGGAGGGACCCCACACTGGATCAGGGAAGGAGTGTGAGGAATTCCCCCGAGGAGGAAGGAGCAGCAAAGACAACCTGTGATAAATTGACCACAGTCCCATCTCCTGTCCCACCTAACTACTGTGGGGGAGGAGAAAGAGAATTTGGGGTTAAAGTTAAGCCCAGGAAAAAGGGGTGCTTAGGTGGAAAGTGTTTAAAAATTTGTTTTTCTTTCTCATTATTCTGTTCTGATTTGTTTGGTAATAAATTAAACTAATTGATTTACCCAAGTCAAGTCTGTCTTGCCCATGTTGGTAATGTCTGAGTGGTCTCTCCCTGTCCTTCTCTTGACCTATGAGCCTTTTGTCAAATTTCCCTGTCCAGCTGTAGAGTGGGGTGACAGACTGGCTCAGTGGGCACCTAGCATTCAGGCAGAGTCAATACACCATAATATGGAGGAAAAATCATCTTGTAGGAATGGAATTTTAAAAAATTGAGAAAAAAGTGAATTTCCAGTCTCATCTAAGGAAATCAGGGATCTAGACCTTTCTTAAGGCAGTCATTCTAATTTCATATAGTAAGAAACCTCATGGCATGAAGTGTGAAATACCTAATGAAAGAAAATGTGTGTGCCAATGGATTAAATATGCTTTTGCAAACTTCTGATTATTCTGCAGTGGGCTATGAGGTGTGTAGGTTTCATACAAAAATGCAGCTTGCAGGTAACTGAGGCAATGACTTTTAAAAGACTGGAAAGCAGAGTGCACAGAAATCAAAGTAATGTTTATAACCATTGAGCCAATAACATCTGAGATGATTTAAAAGTAAGTTCCACTATTTTACTCTTGGATTTTGCACAGAAGAAATCTGTAAAATAAATGCCAATTAATTTGAGTAGCTGAGCTTAACACTGATAGTACAGCTTCTCATTCCCAAACATTTCAGAAACTCGAAGATCTGTCTTACAGAAAATAAATTCACAGTAGTGAAGACTGATCAAAAGTAGAGGAAAATTGACAAATAACTTATACATTTATAAGTTAATTCTGACATCAAAAGAATTACCCACTTAAACATGTTTCTTTTCTGCATGAAGTAACATCCGCAAATTGGAGTCGAAGCTTGGATTCTCACAATCCATGAATCTAAATTGCATTGCTTATTTATATAAAATGAAAGATCCCTGAGGTAGTGAACCTATTCCCTTCTGGGATTTTGTTTGCTGTTTTTAATTTTATTACGTTCTCCATGGCTAACCAGCTGCCTTAGAATGACTCCAGAGGTGAGCAGAATAAATGCCAAATCAAATGGCCTTATAAGGCGAATAGAAAGGGAAATCTGAGACCACAGATGCTGAGCAAAATGATACATGAATACAATGGAAATATTTATATCCCCAGAGAACAGATATTTTAAAATGCAATACCTGTCATAGAAGTTCCTTTGAATCAAAAGTTAGGATTTGTAATTCTTGCAACAGTGTCTTTTGCCCATGCTTCCCAGCGGGACTGAATTGTTATGGATCACGCAGTTTACTGTTAGCCAAGAGATGCTCCACATGCAAGTGCTGTTTGTTCCCTGTTTGTACTGCATTGTCAGCAGTAGTAAAGCTGTGAGTGTTGAGGAGGCACAGCTGGCCTAGAGCAGAAAGTTGGTCATCCTTTTTTATATGCTTCAGTTCTTGACAGAGTGCTTACTGGGAATTTTTACTGATCATCTCAGATCTCCGTATGGCAAGCCCAGAAGGCACTAACATTGTTCTCCTGTTCTTCAGCTCTCAGTTGAATAAAAAATCTAACCAGACAAAAATATAAGAATAAATTTGCTAAAATATTAGAATCTCTGAAATGTATGTCAGGTAATATGTCAGGTAAAGAGCAATTAAAAGATTTTAGTAAGGACACGCTAAGAAAACAGTCCTTTGTGGAGTTAGGTTGTGTGTGAATGTGTGTCCATGTTAAGCACAGTCTTACAGGTGTCAGATTATTGGGGACTAATGGCTCAGTAGACCCAAAATAGTATTTGCCTCTGCTTTTCCAGCCATTTGGGCCGTGAAGACCTTCCTTTGAGGGTAGAGCAGAGGAGTGTATGTCCATGAAATACCCTTACTACATAATGAATTGTCTTTCCAAAGAAAGAACAGTAATGTTTTCATTTGTGTGCCTGCAATCCTGCTGGGATTGCCTTCCCATCCCTTGAAAAATGCTGTCTGCTTCACTCTATTAGCTGAAAGTCAGATGTTTTTCAGCTTCATTGAATCAAGTGTAGGGTGCAAAGTCTGACTGCTGAAAAACCCTAGCTGTGCATCCAGTAAATACCCCACAGTGGCTGTGGGTTTAGTAGTTTTCAGCTGCTGGTGAAAAATATGAGAACACCAGAGGCTTTTAACCACCCAGAGAATTATAGATCAAAACTGTTATCTAGAACAGTGCTAAAAAATGATGTGTTGAAATAAATATGAGCCATCTGAGGTTCCAATGAACTTCATTATACTGCCACATGGAATACAGCAGCTCTGGCATTGCTCAGTGGAAACAGACAAATGTTACTGAGAACACGGACCTGATCCTGTTCTCTGATCCTGTAAGATGAAGGGAAATTAATATTTCTTCCAATATGCAGTCTTGGAAATACTTTCTATTTTCTCTAAACAAGCAAGCAAAACACCCTAACTCCTAAAGACCTCCCAAAACCCTCACCTAAAACTTGACTATATTCCAATTTAAAGCATTAAAACTTGTCTGTGAAAATAATTTATCACTGCTCATGAGCGCTGACATTTAATTCTCCCAGGCAGCTACCTTTTGGATTATACATGTTGATCTTATACCTGTCTGAATCATATTTGTACTTCCCTATTTATTAGTTTTAACTCTGGAGAAAAGAAAAAGAACATTTATATACAGTATAAATTAAAATCTTAGGAAATATGGGTTTGTGGGACTGTGAAAATGAAGACTGAATATGGCTCCACTGACTCTTGTTTTTCCCTGGTAGTACAGCAGTGCTAAGTAAGACAGTTTAGCTGAAATTGAACAGAAGCCATTTAAGGCATTCTTTTTTCAGTCTGCTGATTGCTTGATTTGCCCTGAACTCATTGGCCACCCAACATACCAGTCTTGCTCCTGATCTGTGAGTTTCTGACATCCTTCTCTTGGAGGGTTTCTGTCAGTGACCAGCAGGAAGCAGAGCAGTCTAGAGAAGGGTTAGAAAGTTGGGCAGAATGGAGGATCTGCAGGTCTGGTTTCAATTTCAGACATAAGGGAAACACCTTCTGAAGGAAATATTTTCAGTGATATTGTCTGGTCTAATAACCCTATAACTAATAACTAATAAATAACTAATAATAAATAATAAAATAATAACTAATAACCTTACTAAGACTTGTTTTGCTTATGACCTTTGACAATTGTGTCTAATGCACCTCTAACATCTCATGCTTTGATGATACTGATGATCATGCTTTTGATCCTGGAAGACGGCATAAAGGTGGGTGCTTTTCAGAAACATGCCTATAACTTTTAAATTAATTTCCCCTATGGACTGATTTTCAGGATAACTTAATCTTGGGTCACTGCAATTTGTCAGCAATCTGTCTTCCCATTCTCTTATTTGCTGAAGTTATCAGATATGTCTGTAGGATATTGTCACCTCCTTTATGACACAGTTAATGGTAGTTCATCATGTGAGTCTGCTGTAAGGCTTTGGAATTGTTACCTGTGTTTCTTAATTTCTCTTGTTCTTCTTTCCTCAGTTGGTTTTCCATTTCTGTATCTATACTCTAAACTCCAACATGTCTTTTACAATTTTTTTTCTATATATTTCAAAGAATTAAATTACATTCCATCAATTAAAAGATTAAAAAGAAACTGAATAATCAGTCCAGGCTAAGCAAGTGCATATTTTTGTGCTTTTCTTTTAGAAAGAAGTTTTTTTTCTTAGTAGTGCGCTCAGTTCCATGGGTTGGTAATAGCTATCCAGAATACTGGAACTAAAAGGCACCAGATCTTCACCATGCTAAAGGATATAAATTAAATAGTTACTAGTGAGTAGAAATGTGTGAGTGGAATGAATGGGCAGAATTTGTCATATTTACTTTTAAATTCATCTGGTTTGGAAGACAGTTTTCTTTCCCTTGCAGAAGAGAAAGTTGGCCTGAATATTATGGCAGATGCAACAAAATTGCCGATACACTGCCCCATTTGGCAAAATTATAAGTAGTGCATTGCCTGTGAGTCATTTCCATACTGTTTGTGCCAGTGCACAGCAGTGTATGCAAACGGGGTTCCCAGTACAGCACAAACTGATGCAGACTGGTTCTGTAGGTTGGAATAAAATCTGAGCATGTGCAATCCACTGACAGATCATAACACTAACAGGCCAGATATCTATCTAATAATAGCCATCACAAACCACCACAATGATAGATAAGGAATAAAGTTAACTCTGCCCAGTAAGGAAAGGTGAGGCAAGATTTACAAGAGTGGGTAGTGAGAGGACAAGGGGGAATGGCTTCAAATTGAAAGAGAGTAGGTTTAGATTAGATATTGGGAAAAAATTCTTTACTGAGAAGGTGATGAGGCAGTGTGACAGGTTGCCTAGGGAAGCAGTGAATGCCCCATCCCTGGAAGTGTTCAAGGCCAGGTTGGATGGGGCTCTGAGCAACCTGGCCTAGTTGAAGATGTCCCTGCCCATGGCTGGGGGGTTACAGCTAGATGATCTTCAAGGTCCTCTTCCAACCCAAACCATTCGATGGCTCCGTGATTCTATGCTATTGTATGGGACTGAATAGATTTCCTGATGGCGTGCTTGTAAAACATATTAGAACCGTACTCTCTTGCCTATCCTAAGTGATTATTTTTTGTTTCAGTAACAATGCCCTTAGAGGAAACCTGGGAGAATAAGCTGCTTTATCTTGTTTTCACCTTTGCCATTGAACATTCTTATTTTTTCTTAGGAGGATATGGGCACTTACTTAAACCATGGTTAATGAACAGTATTTTGTAAACTGGCATCCTATTCAGAATCAGTTGCACACGTTTTTTCACTGCTGTCTTGAGTTCCTTCTTTCTGGGGACACAGACT